AGCCGAGCTGGCTGTGGAAAGTGGGTTTGGTTATTCGACTTGGTCACGAAGGTGATCGGTGCCCGAATGGAAGCAGCAACTTGAGTGCCGACCTTGACATTGACGAAGAGGAATGGTTTGACATGGAAGACCTTACCAGCACTTCGGCCGATCCAAAACCAACGGACCGTATTTACAATGGTGGCCGGGTCATGACCGTAGTCCATACTTCCGGTGTGCATCACCTACCTATCGTCTTCTGTGGATGTTCTGGTGCAGCAGCCGAGGACATACAGTTGTTCCGGGTTGGGTTGTACCCATCCACCTACAAGTCTTGCCAGACCGTATTTACCTTCCAACTCCTCGATGACTACCTGCTGGAAAACCTGGAATGTAAAACATCGGCCACCCACTACTACTCCAAATTGAGAAGGATCACCAACTTTGCATTTCCGAATTCCATTCCGGTATGTTGTTCAAGTACTGAGGTATACTCCCATCTCAAAACGTTTGACAGAACCGGTATCACGAGTTAATAAGGGTTGGTAGACAATACCGTAATCTTACTGAACTGGCTACTTTTGGATTTGGACACAAAGGTAAGGCTCCGACGCCGGGGGAGATGGGTTTTTTTTGCCCTACCTGCCCACAACCGGGAGTCAACCTTCCTGATGACTGGAACAAAAACCCCAATGATCCTACTAACTGGAAGTATACCAGAGGATTTGTAGCCGATGGCAATTTCACAGCAGCCCACCAAAAACAGGCACGGCCCAAAGACGATGTTTGGCTTAAAAATGGGGATAGTTTCATGACGCAAAGAGGACCTTATTTGAGCCACCTTCGGGACGCGATTGAAGATAATGATGTAAGTTTTTATCCTTCGAGCGACTCGGCCGGTGTCTGAATCTTTCAGCCGAGGACATGTCATGAGCACAATGCTATCAACAACAAGAATGTATTTCACCGAGGTTTTGACGCTACTGGAATTGGAGCCATTGCTTGCCTTCGACATGGCACCTTTTGTCCGGGTTCGGTGGTAGATTTTCAAAAGGGAGAAAGGTATGGAAGTTATCCTGAGGTTGAATCGTTGTTTTACCGAACAGGCAAATGAACATGGACTATGCCTTGTGCCAGGCTCTGAAGAATACCATGACCAGTGAAGAAAAAAGGGTT